GTTGGCACATTAATTCATTGGTGGATAAAGATTTTGTGAGTTCCAATCCACCAATAAATTAATGTGCCAACGCATCGGTGCTTAGAATAAGATGAGCACCGGTGCTCATTAAATCATTCCTGTATATATATATGCCTTTACAAGCAACTATTTTAGCTGTCTGCTTGCTGCCTAACTGCTTGCAATGCAGGCAACTTTGAAATCAAAAAAAAAAAACCCGAGCTAGCCTGGCCCGCTAAGGCTGGAGCCAAAAACTCAGGTCGAGTCAGAATTTTTTGGTCGAGCGTTTGCTCGACTCGAGCCCAAAAAAGCTCAAAAGCTCGAACCTTTTTTACTCGAGCCCGAGCTTCGAGTTTCGGCTCGTGGCTCGACTCGACTCGTTAACATAGCTACACACACTCTCTCTAATATTTCACTTTCTTTCTAATCTATCTCGCTCTTTCCATCTAGCTACAAACACCACAGGCCCTTTGTCACCCGCTGGGCCGCTGCCACCTACATTGGAGAAAACATAATCAAAAGTCGGTGTAGGCATCGCCTCGCAGCGATGCAAGAGTGCCGCGCAGCAGCGACGATAGCGCTCATCGTTGCTGCGAGTAGTATCGAAGTTGCACAAGCACCTGGGTACTATTAGATCTGTTATTCTTTTTTTTCCCCTAAGTTCGATTTTTCCAAAACAGATGCTATGGACTCGTGGTGGTAGATAGGTTTTTGTCCTCTTTGCAGTGATTTGGGATTGTTGATTGTCGTTGCGCAATGGTGGGTACAGATGGCGGTGCTATGTAATGGTGGGTTCAGATGATTCTATGAGGGTGTTGATTGTAGCTGCTCGACAATGCGATGTGGTTGTAGGTTCAAATGGTAGTGCGATCAATGGTGGTGAATTTTTTGGTTGTTGTAGTGGTGGTCTTTTCAGTGTTTTGGCGTTGTGGGGGATTTGTGTGGTTCTTGTTAGCGTTGGTGGATCTGGCGGTGGCAGTGAGGTGGTAGTGGTGTTGGTGACAAGGTGGTGGTCGACGGTGTTGCAGTTGATGGGATGGGATGGGGAGCGGTGGCAAAAAAGTTCGGAGGCTTGGACGGCTCGGGCTCGACTCGGAAAAAGCCCGAGCCAAGCTTGCTCGACCGAGCCCCACTTTGGGGAGTCGGCTCAAGCCCCGGCCGGCTCGTGGCCCAGGCGAGCCACCTATTTTTAAAAAAAAAATTTGAAGGCAACTAAGAAAAAATTAAAAATAATAATAAAAAAACCAAAAAATCCGAGCCGGCTCGGCCCGCTAAAGCTCGGGCCAAGCCTCATTTTTTTTGGTCGGGCTCGAGCCAAAAAAAAAGCTCGGGTTCGGCTCGAGCTTTTTTTTTCGGCTATGGCTCGACTCGACTCGACTCGTTGACATCACTAGATGGGGTGGGGTGACCAATTACTTAAGTGTTGTAATAAATAAATTGTTAATTTGTGATGAGTTAATAATATGACCTTGAAGAATGTGTAACTATGATTAAATTTATAATTGTAATCAATTAATTTAATAATTTGTGACTGTTAAATAAGTTGTGACCTATAAAATTTATAATTTGTAATTGATAAATGATTTGTGACGTACAAAAGTTTTGATTTTGTGACCAATGAATAAATTGTGACCTATAAAATTCTTGATTTGTGACCGAAAAATAATTTGTTGCCAATTAAATTTTTTATTTGTAATCGAGAAATAATTTGTGACCTATAAAAGTTTTGATTTTGTAAACGGTGAATAAACTATGACCTATAAAAAAATTTATATGTGATCGAGAAATAATCTGCGATCTATAAAAAAATTATTTGTGATAGAGAAATAAGTTATGACCAATAGTTAATAAGTTGTGTAGAAAATTAATTTGTGACTAATTAATTAGATATTTTGTGAATATAAAATAAGTCGTGACTTGCAAGATTTGTGATTTGTGACCTATTAATTTGATAAATTTGTGATTGATGAATAAACTTTGACATATAAAATTTTTTATTTGTGATCGAAAAATAATTCGTGACCTATAAATTTTTTTATTGTGATCGAGAAATAATTTGTGACTAATTAATTTATAAATTGTGACCAAATTGTATAGAATTGTGACTTTAATATATTTAATTAATAAAATATATGTTTAATAAATTAGTTTATAAATAAAATTTTTTTAAAAAAATCTAATTTTTGAAATATTAAATTTTGTTTCTTAGTTTTGAAATTTTTCATACTTAATCTCTTCTATATGAATTTTTCTCTTTTAAAAAAGGCCTAGTCAAACAATTCAAAACTTTTTCAAGCCCAACTTACTATAAAATAGTTTTTAAAGCATCTTTTAGGTTAAAATGTCCAGATTATCATTTTGTATATTATTGAAATGTATCAAACATCCTTAACATATAATGACCATAATATCCATTTTTCAAATTGGAACTGTTAGTTTCATTCCAATCCAACTTTATTTTGTTCTTTCTTTCGATTCCCGCTTTTTTCTTCGTTAGTTTATCTATAATCTTCTTATTCTTTGTTCTCATTTCTTCTTTTTATTTAGTTTTACTCGAAGTATATGAAAGTAAATTCAAATAACAAACCCTTACATTTTTACATTTTTATAATGATACGATATTGTTATCACTTTTATTTTTTTTTAATCTTGTATTATTTTGATTTGTACATATATTCATTGCCATTTCTATTTAGTTAAGTGTTTAAATGACCTATCTTGTTTTAAATGATGGAAAGTCGTTTTAAATTACTATAATTGATTATTGTTGAAGATTGTTGACAAATAATTATATCACCGTGAATTGATTTGGGCAGAATAACGTCATACACAATGAATGCTATAAAATGTTAATGGTCAGGTAATAGTTCGACTCTTTCTCCTTAAGATGATAATGTCCCGCACTGATGTTGACGGTATTCCGAAACTCGTTTCCCAAGATACAAGCACTACAAATTACAAGACCCAGCAAATATACTCACGTTTTGATCTCTCTAAAAAATTTGAGGACTAAAATGCACGAAAATAATTTTTCGAGGCTGGATTGCAAAATATGAATAATGTAGGGACAAAAAATAATTTCGAAAGAAGAATAAAATCAGAATTGATTATTAAATGAATGAAAATTGGGGTATGGGAGCCTATTTATAGAAGTTGAAAGGTTAGCCGAAAAGTTGTATCTTCAACAAACACAAACCGTTTAGAAAAGTAGTTTAAATGTTAACCGTCAACCGTTCTTCTAGAAGAATCCATGTGTCACGCATAGAAAAATCGGGGAAAATAATATAAATAATATATTATTATATTAAATAATAATAAAATTATATAAATCAAATATTATTTTACCAAAAATATATATCAGCTTCGCCCAAGCCCACAACTCGTGCCGAGCTAATCAATCGGAAGGAAGGCAGCGGCTCGCGCGTGGGCTTGGCTCAACCTACTAGCATGTAGGTTATCTCCCCTTCAAAAACTATTGGTACTCCTTGAGACTCAAACCCAAGTCCCAAACTTGAGCAATATAAAGTGGTTTATAATCTTCTAGCTTTCCTATATGGGATTGGCACTTTTCCAATTTCCCACCAATTTATTTCAATTTCAAGTTTTCATCTTTTGGCCTTAATTTCTCATTCACCTTAAGTTGGTTTCGAGGAAATAAATACATTACAATAATCTACTCATGGAGTAGAACACAATCAGCCAAAGAAATATTTTGTCCAACTAACGGGACCCACTAAAATAATTGGTCAAAATTTGGTAAAACCAATTTTTTCCAACAATCCCCCACATGAATGGAAATTAATGCAATAGACTATGCAGACCCTATAGAGAGATCAGACGGAATGTTATCTTATCCAGATAGGTACCTTATGGGTTTGAACCTTCCGTAGTAAAATATTATCGGATTTACTTGGCTAATCAGTGAACGCGGTGTCTTGGACTGCCAGTCGTTGGTGTAAACCAAGAAAATAGTATCAACACAATAACATTCATAACATTTCGAGTTCTCACTGTTGCGTTCATTATAGCCCTGAACTCTTGGATTTCATAAGTGCTTTAGAGAATTCAAGCATTTCAAACATTCTTATAGAATTGGCCACACTTCAAACTTATATAGGTGATCTCCTATTAAGAGTACTTGTCATACCCCCACTTAGATAGTCTAAGATATATGAATCATTAAAAATATAACTTAACCTTAAACTTTATGCAGATAGCACTTTCTTATCACAAGAATGGGTAGGAGTTAACTTTGAAGTGTTTCTTTGAATCTTCATAACTTAGTTATCCCATTGAATCAAGATTTTGAGATATCCAATCAGTAAGGTTGGGTTACCATTACAAAGATTTTTGCATAGTAGGCTTTAAGCTCATTCCCCTTGATAGGCTGTATACTTGAACTCTTAGTAAGCTTTTAGTATACGGATCCGCGAGATTTTCTCTAAACTTTACATAATCTATGGAAATAACACCATTTGAGATCAACTACTTAATTGTATTATGTTTTCGACAAATATGTCTAGACTTACCATTATACATACTACTTTGTGCTCTACCGATAGTCGACTGACTATGACAATGTATACTAATTATAGGTACATGTTTAGGCCAACATGAATATCCTCTAAAAAATTTCGAAGCCGTTATACTTCCTCTCCAATTTTATCTAAGCTATGAACTCAGATTCCATCGTGGATCGAGCTATACATGTTTGTTTAGAGGATTTCCAAGATACGACCGTACCATCAATGGTAAAAACATATCCACTGGCGGATTTTAAGTCTTTTGTATCTGATATCCAATTAGTTTCACTATATCCTTCTTAGATAAAGTTGGAGAGGAAATATAATGGCTTTGTTATCCTTCTAATACAGCTGGATATCAAGTATAATGTAATCCAATATTTGAGTTGTATCGTAGATATCTAAGAACACTTACCAGTGCTTTCCAATGTTCATTATTTGGGTTACTTGTATATCTACTAAGTTTGTTCACTGCATATGCAATATCCGGATAAGTGCATTTTGTAATATACATTAGACTGCCTATTATCTGATAGTACTCTAATTGAGATACGGGTTCGCATTTATGTTTGGTCAAATGTAGATTTAAGTTTACCGGTGTTTTAACTGGAATTTCATCATATATATGAAAATTCTTAAGCACAGTCTCAATATAGCGAGATTGAGATAAGACAAGTCCCTCAAATGTTTTAAGGATTTTAATTCCTAATATTACATCTGCAATACACATATCTTTCATATCAAAATGTTTTGTCAATATTTTCTTGGTATTTGTTATGATATCATAATTATAAATAATTAGCATATCATCAACATATAGACATACTATTACATATGCATTAGGTGTGGTTTTAATATAAACACATTTATCACACTCATTAATCTTAAAACCATTTGACAACATAATTTTGTCAAATTTTGCAAGCTATTGTTTTGGCGCTTACTTTTGTCCATGTAATGATTTAACGAGCTTACACACATTTTTCTTCTATCCAAGAGCAATGAACCCTTCGGGTTGTTCCATGTAAATTTCTTATTTTAGCTCACCATTTAACAAAGTTGTTTTGAAGTCCATCTTATGGATTTCCAAATTATCCAATGCTGCGATTGCAATTAATACTCTAATTAATATTATCCTTGCCATATGTGAGTATGTATCGAAAAAATCAAGGCTTTCATTTTGTTTGAATCTTTTAACTACCAATCTAGCCTTATATTTATCAACTGATCCGTCAGTCTTTAATTTTCTTTTGAAAATCTATTTACAACATAACGGTTTGTTACCAGGTGGGAGATCTACCAAATTCCAAGTATGATTCTATATAATAGAATCAATTTCACTATTGATAGCCTCTTTCCAGAATGGAGCTTCTGCATTAGACATTGCTTCATTAAATGTCATAGATTTATTTTCTAACAAATAAGTTAAAAAATATGGACCAAAAGATGTAGATGTTTTG